TGCTTTTATAATGGTAAAAAAAATGAAAATGTTTAAAATTCTGATTCACAAACATTTTGGTTGCTTGTGGTAAATTATAAATGTGACAAACGAAGGGTTTTGCCAGAGCCTGTCACATGAGCCACAGATCACAATAGTTCAAAGTGATTTGCTGACTTAAATAAAGGAAGAGTACCAGACAATTTTGGGTCTATGTACTGTATAAAGTATGGGTATATCAATATTTATGCATAGTTAATAATCACATGATAATTATGAAAAGTGGTCTATATTTCAATTAATTAATATTAATATTAAGTTAATAAATATGCTAGTACATATTTACGTAAAGTCAAATTATTTAATTTTTTTTTTTTTTTTTTTTTAATACCTTGAACACTTCAGAATGCCCTAATCGCTAAAACACTATGTATATCAGGGGCGGATCCAGAGACGTCCAAAAGTGGGAGGGCCATTGGGGGCTGAAAGCTGTTCGAAATACAACCAGCCTTTGGGGCTAAGGAGGAATTCCCCACAAAATTCTTGTTTTCAAGACACCCGAAAATAACGCCTGAGGCATTTTGGGCGATCTATTATTTCTTTTTCTTTCTTTCTCCCTTTTTAAAATTTTGACTTTGCAAAAGGCAGGGGGCCTCGCTGGCGCCATCCCCCACCCCTTAAATCTGCCCCTGTAAGTACTATTTATTATTATTTTACACCTCAATATGAATGTTTTACTTAGTTTTTGCATGCAAATAAAACCAAAGTCCAACAATTGAATACTGTAATAAATCATAAGAAAAAGAGACTTAATCATTTATCAAAAAACTATAATAAATTCATTATTTTAAGTATTTTGTAATGTTAGTTTCTCCAGCTGGAGCTGATCAATGGCAACCCGACAGATATTTCTAAAAATCTAAAATAAATGCAATAAAGTATATATTTATAACTTATTAAAATGCTAGGGAAAATATAATATTTTTCTGCTATTTGAATTCAATTTCTTGAGAATACAGCTGTTATAAATAAGGACAAATAAAAATGTTAGTTTCTCGTCCAGGATTTGAAATTATTTTTACCAAGCTATTTGCTATCCTACTACTAGTACAAGGTGGTAAATTATAAAAATTGTTTTTTTTTTTTTTTTTGATAAGGAAGTAAAATGTATGCTTTGTAATGCACTGTATTCTGCCGTTTATGTTTCAACCTCTTGTTCGTTTTAACAACTATCACTTTCGGATCGTCCTTAATTTTATTTTTTTTATTTAAAAATTATGAAGTTTTTCATGAGGCTCCAAAATTTGATGGGGGCAGGGACGTGAAAATAGCTGTTAATTTTATTTGGCCTAGAATATGAGATTTTAATCGAAAATGTTAGATGGAGATTCAAGATAGGCGTGTTGACATTATTTAAATTTCACAATTTCCGGCGAGTAAGAGACATTGACATTTTGAGCTTCCAAATACTTCTCATCTTCTGTATGTCACACCTGAAGAGACAAGTGTGACAACGACAAGATGAAGTAAGAAACAAAGATGGAGACGCTGTTGAATGTCTTGTTAATATGTACAGTGTGCATCACTTATACTCTTTTTTTATTTATTCATTTGATAGACACATAGAGCAGTGGCACTTCCAAAATGCTACACTGACAAATTTGAAAATTCAAATTGTTCTTCATATTTATAGTCAATTTTATCTCTTTAAGGATTTATTTTAATACTAGATATTTGACAATATGATAGTTATTTTATTGCAACCATTTTATAGTTTTGTACCGCTATTTCATTTTCTGTTCAGACTTTGTATTTCATTATGAAAATCTTATCCATTGAGAATAATTTATATACGTACACATTATAATCACATTGTCAAGGTAAAGTAGATAAAGAAAATGATACTAAAAGATACCAAGAGGCTCTGATATTTACAATTTGTTTTTGGTGGTATTTCAATTTATTAGAATTTGATGTACAGTACCACAATCATACCTGAAATTATTAATTTATCCATGATGTTATCAACAACAATTAATATGATGGTGATTAATAAGCTTAGAAAAAAAAGTATATGTTACATGAAGTAAACATGTTTACAGTGTGTATATATAATTTAATATAATAAAATAAATCACAAATTATGATTATTTAGCCATATTTAATGTGTCCAAGTAGGCCTACTGCAATAGTTTGATAGTTAACCATGACTTTTTGTATGACAGTATCATAAAAACTTGTTTTATATTGAACAGGCCAACATGATGAAGGAATAATATTAATAAATCTATAATTTGTATTATTTCTTCTTATGATCTAGTTTTTAGCATGAATTATTGTACACAATCAGCATGCTACAATGATAGGCCTAGATTGGGCCCACAGAAACCTGGAAATATACTTTAGATTGGACCAGAAAGCCAGATTTTTCTATTGTTAAATTAATAGTCCAATTTATCATTTGATTTTAGTATTTATTTATGCTACAAAAGAGCCGTCAATGAGTAATTGTTTACAAAATTAATAAACAATAAACACAATTGCTGAAAATTATCAAGCTATAGTAAACAACAATAAAAGTATTATGTTGGTAAATATAATAAATTTAGAAATAACAATATTAAAGAATTCATGTTTATAGTCAAAATCATTTATTAAGTACTTTTGATTTTTTTTTTGTGTTATTCTGGATGATTTTGTTGAATTGTGAATTTGTTGAATCACTGAATAGATTGTTCAAAGAAATTACCATCTGCTTTAGAGCCTTTGTGAATATGAAATACTGTACTACTACAGTATGCACTCTATAAAATGATTATTATTAATTTTTAGCTATTTGATTCCATTATGAATTATCCTAAAGTTATTGCTTCAGCTGTTCAGTATTTTATTTAATTAAATTCAATGCATTTTATTTTCTATATCATTATTTATGAGTCCATTGATTTCAATTCAAGTCCATGTGCATACAATGTCACAGGTGAATAGTGTAGCTTAGACAAGACTTTTCTTTTCATACCTTGTTTTAAAGGGAACTTGACGCCCGCCAATAATGATGATTTTGAAAAAAATAAAATTTTATTTTTGGCCAATTAGCGCATCTACCACCATCAAAAGATGAAAATTTCAGAAAAAAAAATAAACATTTTCTTCAATTTTAATACGCTCGCTTCTGCCTTGAAGACTCCAAAAATAAGATATGTACTGTTTATTTCTTCCTAATTATATAAATTTAAAGTATTTAACCGTCCCATTACTGTTTACATTCACCAATAAAATGCTATTTTTTTTTTTCCATGTGGATGCTTTTAAAAAAACTATTTGTTAAATAAGAAAACTACTGTAACTTTTATTTTTGGTCTCCCATTTAATTCCATTTGATGATTTCCATGTGTTTCAACTGGAGGGCTGAAATGCAACCATTGGTCCCAGGGGCAGATCCAGAAATGTCCAAAAGGGGGGCTGGAAGTGGGGGCCGAAAGTTGGGCTGATTGAGAAAACTCTGTCGTAGGGGTCCGGGTAATGCCCCCGCGAAATGTTTGTGTTCTAGACGCCTGAACATAACATTTGAGGCATTCTGGGCTATCATTTTTTTCTTTTTCTCTCTTTTTTCCCCTTTTTTTTACCTCCCAAAAGGGGGGGGGGGCCAGGAAAAAAATAATTTTAAAATGAACTTGCTCATTGTGTAGTAACATACAAATTATTAGCTTGAGCATAGAAATTATTTAATCAAAAGAATGTGTACTGTACCCTGATTTTTAAATTGGGTAGAATTATAATAATGATAATCTATACACTTCCAGTGACGTAGTGTTTCTATCATTTTCACTTTTTTTAAATACACTAACTTTCTATGTTCAAGTTGATTATTTTTATGTTACTTCAAAATAGGCAAGGTACAATAATTTCAAGAATGATTTTATGTTGTTTTTCTACAGGATAATATATGATTGATGCATTATACTTTAGAAACAAAATATCTATTAATCATGATTTTATAATCAATTAAAAAAAAATCCTCTATTTAGAAAGCAATACATTTATCCATGAATTTTATGCAGTGGTTTATTTTGTAATTGATCACAATCCAAGATATAAGTTTTGAAATTGTTTTGCAGGTACTATGTTAATGTAAAACGATCATTCCAAATTCTGAGTTCTGTCATCACAAAGGAATGTTTACAGGGGCGGATCCAGAGATGTCCAAAAGGGGGACCGAAAGTTGGGCCGACGAGACAACACCATCCTAGGGGTTCCGGGGAACGCCCCCTTGAAAGTTTTGTGTTCTAGACGCCCGAAAATAACATTTAGGGCGTTCTGGGCTTTCATTTTTTTCTTTTTATATCTTTTTTTCCCTTTTTTTACCTCTCAAAAGTGGCGGCTGGGGCCGGACTGGGGGCCCCTCCCTAAATTCGCCCCTTGTTTATATGAATTATTATGTTTGGTATGATTAATACATCATTCAGAATTCATAGACGGATCCATGGGAGGGGTGAATATCTCCCACCCTTCAAAAAGCTCAACATTCCAGTCTGGGGAAATATACCAGAAATTTAAAGAAATGTAACGTCATTCAGAATGTGGCAAATGTTCATCTGGGCCTATAAACACTATAAAGCAGGGAGATGATATACAGTAGTATAGTACTTCCCTGCTATATATAAGTAGACAATGTTGCCTACTTACGAATAGAAAATGAGAATGATTTGAGGAACTGTTAAAGGTATTTCAAATATTCTAATAAGTAATATTTTGACTTTATCATTAGCGTGAAATTAGTACTTACATAATCTTTACAACATTTCTATGTATACACTGAAGAATGATATGGTATGATAGTAAGAGTGAACAGTATCAGTAATTTTTAAATGTGTTTTTACACATTAAATCTATGAAAAAACGCTAATGCATTTGGTTTGTTAATTAAAGAATACTACTAAACACTATTTAATTTTGGTACACGAAACCAGATCCTCATTGTATGGTAATCTAATGTTTCCTATTTTTTCTGTTTGTTTCAGGATACATCTGTCACACCCTTTAGGATTTCCTCTGCTTTGTACTGTACTTCTGCTAATCAAGGTATGCATTGATACTGCATGAATATCGATTAGATCATGAAAATGTGTGTTTTTATTATAATCACAGCATCATTACCATAGTTATAATCATTTCATTTATTAATATCAACATCATCATCATTTTTATCATCATCAATGTCATCATTAACTTACTGTTAGATGTGAAAAAAAATAGTAAATTGTTTTTTTACTATGATATTGGATAAATCTTTATCTTATCATTTTATGACAATTGTTACATTTCTAATGCTTGTTTTGCCAATGAAATGCTTTGCAACATTAAATTGTCATTTTCCACTCACGACAAGATCATATGCAAATGACATCATGGTTCATTCTGCATCTTATGACATTTTCATCTAAATTTTGTATTCTGGATAATGTGAAAAGATATCAGCCCACAGATATTAGCACTAATTTCTCGGATTTTCGTCTGTGCAATTCCGGATTTCTTATAATGTGAAAGCATATCCCGCAGATACAAGACTTTAATTTCTCTAGCTTTTCGACTGCAACAAATAACTGTTGTTGTGTTGAACTGTATTCCACTTTTTTTATAAACATAGATGTATGAACTTCTTATTCTTAACAAAATACTGTATACAGTACCTTACTTTTGGCTGAAAATGTATTGTTTTACGAACCAGAACTTTATGTTAATGACTCATAATGATAATTATTATCAAGATGATTAATTTTTGTAACTCTCTTTCCTAACTCAAGTTATTATAAGGAATGTTTACATTGCTCATAGTTGCTAATGTAGAATTGCCAGTGCCAGGGTATATCATTTTTGTTTTTTTAATAGAAGCAAATATTTTTGGTGAATTTTATACTCTATTCAGATATTTCCCAACACTCATTTTGCACACATAGTATTCCCAAAATTCATTTCCGACAGGGAAAAAAAAATTCAAATTGTTGTTATAAGTATTGAAGACCACCTTTCTGTAATATAAAAAATATTATGTACGATATATAACCAAATTAAATACAGTAGAACCCCTTCCTTGGGGACACTCCTATTAAGGGGGGATCACAAAACGAGGGAAAGTATCTTTTAACACTACGGCCAACCCCTAATACAGGAACCCCTCCTTTTTTGGTCCCGAAGGTGTCCATTTAATAGAGGTTCTACTGTAATATTGGAACTAGTATGTAGTAATACCATTCTTTATTAAATGGTCTCATTGCAATTTAATGAAAAGATAACTAAAGGATATAGTTTAATTTTGCAGGGCTCTGTAGGTAGGAGAATAAAGCCATTAAACTCGCAGCGTCATTGTGCTGAATTGCCTGTGGGCATGGTCCGTGACTGCTGTACCTAGCCACCGTAAAGAGGTGCTTATGGTAGTTTCTTGTTCACGTCATTCCACAATAACAGGGACTCAAATGAGCGATAGAATCGGGGTAACCACCTACTCTTCTGACAGATGCAATTGAGTTCTTTAAAATTGCAGCAAGCCAGATGTGTGCACGGGACCGCCATATTAAGTCCTTATACGCGCGAAGACTTCTACAGTACAGACTACCAACTGAACCCTGGGGGAGGAGCGGTTTGAATCAGCGCCGATGTTAAGGCTTACCGGAGCCTCTGCCATACCGCTCGATCACTCAACACATTCATAAAACCCCTCCCCCAGTACTCTGTGTGCATGATCCAGAAGATGTTTTTTTGGGTTGTAATTCCTAATTTTGATTTCTTCTGGCTTAAAAAAATATTTCATTTTCCATATGAAAATAAATTACATTAATTGCCTTGCCACTCATAATAAAGTATGCCTTTTTCCACAATAGAATTATAGTAATATTTTGGTGACAATATTTTGAAATCAGTACTCTGCTATTGCTGTAAGAAGTTGTCTGACCTATTGATTTACAGTAATACTATCAATATAACGCTATTGATTTAATCTCATATCAATTATATTATTTGGAATACTGTGTTGTATGTAATCATTTTTTATTCTACATTATACTGTACTATAGAAATAATTAGAAAATACCTAAAATTCAATTAAAATATTGAGGAGCTCATTGAAATGGATCAAAATTTAAGAGTACCAACTTCAAACATTAAAAAAAAAATGATTTGTAGCAATTTTTCTGCAAAAATTCTTTAATTGATTTCCAGCCCGGCCCAGTATGGGTCTTGCAAAATAGCAAATTAGTGTCCACTATACAGTAGATGGGAAAATTCTTTCACATTCAAATTTTCAATTAATAACATGCTAAGCAATACATATATTTAACTCAATTATTATTTTATACATTTCTTTGTACTTGACAAACAGTGCATCTTTGAATATTAAAGTTGTGATCAATATTCATTTGAATTTAATAATAGGCCTACAATTTCTATGTGAATATGAAATGACAGCAGAAGTACTGTATGACATATCATTAATAAACTTAATTCAATTTTAATACATTTGCATGAGTCATGCTTCTAACTATACTGTATGTGAAGAAGTTGTGGCATAGTGCAATCTTTATTGTAATTTAATATACTTAAAAATTTTGTACATATTTGCATGATTGAAGATTTTATGAAGTACAGTACTGTAGTGACCAACAATCAGAATTTGACAGGCCGAGGAACCCCCATCTGGGAACGCTGGACATTAAAGTAATAGAAGCCAAATTTTCTTGGGAAGCATTGACCATTTTTGTAGTCCGATAGTGTCATTTCTGGGCATGGACATAATGTGGCTATTCATGAAATTTGCTTGCCTAACGTGGTGGGGCTAAAGTTGGGAATCTTGCCTTGGACTAGGTGAATCTCTTCTGCCGTCGCTAGAGATTTAAAATTATAATCAACTACTGTAAGACTTTTAAATTATAAACCTGATGTTTTGATGCAAGTTCATAGAGTATTTGCACCCATGCTAAGAACATTGATAATGGCACTTTGTTTGGGTAACTCCAAATACAGATCTGATTGAATAGAACTAAAAAAGATTTTAAAAATTTAATTTATTGAAACAAATTATTGTTTAGACCATATGTTAGCTTTCCGCTGGGAAATCGTACAAAATGTACCATGGAGTACACCAGATGAGAGTTGGACTCAAAAAGCTGTTTTGTTATCGTTAAAGACAATCTAATTAACCATCAGATTGATAACTTCCTGTATTGTACCTAGAAAATAATATATTTTTTGATAGTTTAATGATAGTTGTTGCATTTTTAACATTTATTTTGAATTTTATATTGACCACACTGAATAGTTTCTAGCAAAAGATTAATAAAAATAATTTTTGAGTATTAGAAACAAATTGTGTTTTGCATCATAATGTTATCCACTGGGAAATGCAAATAGCATGTACCGTATACCAAGTGGGAAGAGTTCAGACAGGAAGATTATCTTGTTAAGCATTGAGACAAGTCTATTAACCATTGAATTGATAACTTCCTATAAGCATTTACAAGATACTGTACAAAATACAAGATAGCTTTATTTCACTTTTGTTGTGTATAATAACATGTGCAATAAATGATCATTATTGACTTTACTGTAAGATGATGATTATAACATTTTTTCCTTAATTAAAGTAGACTTGTAAAAACATTTAGATTTGAATTGAAATGTTAAATTTAAGTGGCAATTTCAGTACCAATAATGTACAGTATATTGTTACAATATAAAGTTATCCTCATTAATTTAAAACATGTATTTTCTTTAATATATATGAAGAGTAATTTGCACTTTGTGGAATAATAATAGCAGCTAGGTAAGGCACTTTTATACGTTTAGTGCACTCGCCGACGGCCAATAATGGTGATTTCATATAAAAAATTTGCCAGTTTTTAGCGAACCTTCCGCTACCAAAAAATGGAAAATTCAGAAAAAAAATTAATTAATTTTTGTTACACCCTCCGCTCCCCTGAAATCTCCAAAAATAAAATAATTCATACAGTATAAGATCGTCAGAGGAGTGCGGCAATAAATTTTCAAAAAAAGGTATTAGAAAACTCTCACCCTAAAAGAAATAATAATTTGTTGATTTATAGCACTTTGTACATCTAAACAAGATGGTGCACTTTTCAAATTCTATCTTGTCACTAAGCAAATGCATTCGCAGCAGAGGAGTATCATGAATATTCATTCAGCATACAATTTCATAGAGCAAGACCTACTAGCCTATTTGTCCAGTAAGCCAAATGTACATGCCTTGGATTTCAATCTGTATCCTAACAGTTGACAGCCCAAATCACAAGCACTGCACCAATTCCACTTTGTAGCATCATGGAGGGTAGCATGTTAGGGAGCCTCGCAAAATAAAGCAACGCGTATACAAGTGGACCACGCGATGCGATTAAAGGCAGTTTAATCCCATAGTTGGCCACGCGTTGGGATTATTTTCCTGGGCGACTCCACTTCGTAGTGGGGATCTTATACACATCTGAATCGGGGTAACCACCTACTCTTCTGACAGATGCAATTGAGTTCTTTAAAATTGCAGCAAGCCAGATGTGTGCACGGGACCGCCATATTAAGTCCTTATACACGCGAAGACTTCTACAGTACAGACTACCAACTGAACCCTGGGGTGTATTGCTTTCACCCCTTTTCAAACAGCGAAGCACATGTTTTGTTGCGTCGTTGATTAACCATGTCCTCTACCATTCCATATGGGTTATTAATTTCATAATAATTTTTCAAAATAATTAAATTTAAAATGTGTAATCATTAAATCGTTTTTAAATGCTTGAATGTACCAAATGACTATGTTATTTTACTACAGGGATTTTAATTTCATTTATAAAACGCACTGGTAATGTATAAAAGTAGTTTTCAATTGTTGATACGCCACGGCGTATCAAGTGGACTTGGAAGTCTTCCTTGCAGTGTACTGCATCGCCGGGCTGGAAGTTTAGGGCCTGTGGTTTTGAAATACTCTACAAAGTAAAAGTTAGACTCTGGTCCTGTACTCAATGGGCTATGGGATATTTACTGAATTACGATCTCTTAACATATTATCATTATTTTATTCTTTA